CTGGTTCAGAGATGGCGCCTTCTCGCTGTCTCCTCGCCAGTGGAAATGGGCAAACGAGCTCCCTTGAGCCTATTTATAGGGCACTAATCTCTTTTAGGAGGGGTCCACCCTCACAACCTCATCACCTTCCAAAAGACCCCATTTCCTTAGAGGTTAGGAGTTCAACATACAAATTTTGAGGGAACACAAACATTCACGCTATAGTAGGGCTGGTAGAGGAAAATGCTATGGTTATACTATGAAGGAGGGACATAAGTTTCCATTTTCAGGCCCCTCTTCTCTGGGTCTGTATCAATGAAGACAAATGTGCCTCTAGTCTCCCTTTATCCCATCCCCTTCCTCTTCCTGCTTCCTCACACTGTGTAAGCATTTCATAAATGCACCTTCCTAACTAACTTTAAAACCTGGCACTGGCAGTCCTATCTGTAGAACCTATTTACTTAATGTGTAGTTCTTTTGGAGAAATATTTGAGGAAGGTTTTGTTCCTCATCTAAATTTACAAAGAATTGCTGGAACAAAGGAGTAGGAAACAGAAGGAGCAGTTTAAACTACACTCCAAAGGAGCTAGCCTCCTCTTACAAATTTATCACAGAAATTCAACATTTAAAACAAGATCTGAATTATCCAGATGTAATGCTCTGTTTTCCAAGGTTTTTAGTGGGCTTCATGTAAATCAAGCCTAACACTAAGAAATAAACAACAACAAAAAAAGGATATACCAAAAAGAGAAAGTCAGGTTGACAGTCTTTTCTGGAGGATTTATCAGGTTATTCCTGTGAATACCAACTTCCTCTAGCTCATATATAATTAATGAGAGACAGAGAGAAAGGGATCAGAAGGAAGAAGAGAGAAAGAAAGAAGTTTTCAAGAACACATCCACTGTCAAAAATGAAGAATACCTTAAAAGGCATCTCGACATTTTTGTTAGAATTCTTTTTTTTTTTTTTTTTGAGACGGAGTTTCGCTCTTTTTGCCCAGGCTGGAGTGCAATGGCACGATCTCGGCTCACTGTAACCTCCGCCTCCTGGGTTCAAGCGATTCTCCTGCCTCAGCCTCCCGAGTAGCTGGGATTGCAGGCATGCGCCACCATGTCTGGCTAATTTTGTATTTTTAGTAGAGACCGGGTTTCTCCATGTGGGTCAGGCTGGTCTTGAACTCCCGACCTCAGATGATCCACCCACCTCAGCCTCCCAAAGTGCTGGGATTACAGGCTTGAGCCACCGCACCCGGCCTGTTAGAATTCTAAGAAGTGCTTTCCAAATGGATAAGCACCTGCCACCCAACTACAGTGCTTTCTCTTTCATGTTCAAAATAAACATGCAAAAACACAAATTTTCCAGCTTGACAAGAAAATGTGAGCCCCCAAACAGCAAACACTTTAATCAACAACTCTTACCTGGGCACAAAAGACTGAGTACAGCATTTGGTTTAAAGGGGATTAGACATCAGTGATTCAACATAGACAACAAAAATTATTCATTTCTTTAAGGATGCTTCAATTGTCGTAGTGAGTGAGCTCTTCATGATCCTCCTTCAGCTTTCATTAATTTCCCCTGCAAAATTTGAAGCAATATATTCTACATATGGTATTGAGAAAAAGGCAAACAACCAATACAAGTAAGGAGAAAAAGATAATTTCATACTACCCCAATCTTGGCATGTAGCTATGCCTTGGGATCACTTAGTCTCCCCGGATTCCCACAACAGAATAACCCAGTGAGCACAGTGAGCATCTGTGCGACCTTGGGCAATTTACTTGACGTCTTTGTAAAATATCAGGATGATGACAGAGTATCTACCTCTTACTATTATTGTGAAGAGTTAGCACAGTCCTTGCTACATAGTAAATGTGCCAAAATAGGTGTTATTCAGTTGACCTGTTAAACATGTTCCAATCAACTATATTCTACTGAACAAATTTCCTTCCTTCCTTCCTTCCTTCCCTCCCTCCTTTCCTTCTCTGTTCTTTTCTTTCTTTTTCTTTCTTTCTCTCTTTCTTTTTTTTTCTTTTTCTTTTCTTCCTCTTTCTTTCCTTCCTTCCTCCTTTCCTTTCCTTTCCTTCCTTTCTTTGCTTTCTTTGTGATGCAGTCTCACTCTGTAATTTGGCATTGCACACTGGGGGCCATGATGTCATGGCAATCATGCCTTCCAAGAGAACTAGGGATAATCTGATGGGTTTCTTTGTGGGAGGTTTTGTTTGGTTTTTTGGATGTTTGTTTTTTGTGTGGTAAAATTCACCAATTTTAAATATACAAGGGATACTCTGTTTATACCAAAACCACAACGTCCCAAAAGATCCAGAAGTAGATGTATTCCAACCCCTTCAACCCATTTCTTTCACTCATTCCCTCCCTCTACCTGGTCAGATAATTTGACTCATTGTTTTTGGCTAAAGAATCCCTGACCTTTTTGTGGTAAGAATCTACTTTTTCATCTCCCTGGGATCTCGAGATCACTGGGGAGCCAGGACCTGGCAGTGAAACAGATATGGAGAAGGGGAGAGACAGGAATTGGTGCTGCCATTAGAAGAGAGTCCTCAAGAAAAGCCAGAACTAGGACACACCATGGGAGCCACTGGGTTGTGTGTGGGGGATGCCTCCTGCCTGGGGTCTGTCCTCCCAACCCACAGGAGTGGCTCTGGCTGTCCTGTTCAGTTATTTGATCTTGCCTGTTTGGATCTTTCCTGGACTCACTGAGATGGATGCTCAGCATCTTTCAGATAAACGCCCTGTTTGCTTAAGACTAGCCAGAGTCACTTGGGTTTTTTACAATCACTAAACCTTCACTAAAATGACCCTCCAGGATCCCAGCCTCTCCAGGAATCCATGACTCAAGAAGTGGTGTCAGGGAGGATGGTATGGAGACTTCCAGAGAAGGTCTTCTAAACTTATGTCAAACCACTGGGTGGGAATTCCTGTTATGTATGAAACCTATTTTCCAAGACAGAATTGACGTGTTTTTTTCTTTTCTTACTTTCTCTCTATCCCCCGACATCAGTGTCCACATATCAGCTGGTTCAAGGCTCTGTGTAACCTGATATTACCCATGTTGAAATTCAGCATAATTTGGCATTTGATGATCATGTGGGCTATGTTCTGTATAACCACCTAAATAATGGCCTAGACAGCAATTACTTTGGTAACCAGAGAGTAAATGGCCCAGAATCCGACCTTTAATCTAGCAAGCAGAACGTTCTAAGGTAGAAGCCTGCAGAATGGGCAATTACTGAGCTGTCCTTCCCATTCCTCTGTGCTAAAGGTAGGGAGCCCTGGCCACCCCTAGGGCAAACCAACTTGTTCTGTAAAGCATGCGTGACCCTCAAACCAGACTTTCAGGAGCCTGACTACGGTGAAAACTTAGCAGGTTATCCCACACTCCTTTATTGTTTAGAAAGATGCATAATTATTCTGATCCTGCTGACATGAGGACTATACATTATAAAGCTATAGGATCCTAGTGGGAGCCTTCTGAAGGCAATGCCCACAAACTCTGCTTGGGTTCCAAAGGGCCCTCCTTCACACACCTGCTCTTTCTCTGCATGGATTTCCATGTATGATTACACTCAGCTTTGAAAATGCAATAGAATGTAGCGGTTAAGAGAATAAAGCTCCACCATTCACTAGCCATGTCACCTTGAGCAACGGACCTAACCTATGCCTCAGTTTCCCTAGTTGTAAGATGGAACTAATGATAGTACCTATCTCATCAGGTTGTCCTGAGAATTAGATATGAACTTGTTTAATACATGTGAAGTATGTGTACTAGTCTCAGCACTCAGGCCGCATGCCATAAGGAATAGCGATTATTATTCTGAGCTTGAATGGAAAAGAAAAGAAAAGAATATATGAGAAACTATGATGTCCCACAATGTGGCTATTTGCCACAGATCTGAATTCCACAGTTTCCTTGTTACATGCATTCATAATAAATGCATATTCAACATGCATTTATAAAAACCCTTTACTGCAGCCAGGCGCAATGGCTCACGCCTGTAATCCCAGGACTTTGGGAGGCCAAGGCGGGCAGATCACCAGGTCAGGAGTTCGAGATCAGCCTGACCAACATGGTGAACCCCTGTCTCTACTAAAAATACAAAAATTAGCTGGACGTGGTTGTGTGCGCCTATAATCCCAGCTACTTAGGAGGCTGAGGCAGGAGAATCACTTGAACCCGGGAGGTGGAGGTTGCAGTGAACCAAGATCATGCCATTGTACTCTAGCCTGGGCAACAGGGCAAGACTCCATCTCAAAACAAAACAAAACTCTCTTTACTGAGCAGCAACCATTGTGGAGGGTCAGGTGATACAGGGACAGCAGCAGGGTGGAGATGGGAAGGCAGGTTCTTGTTCAGTGCACACACCTAGTACATGTGTTTGAAAAGTTAAATGTGATTCCATTGTATGGCACTAAATACTGGTTATAAAGCAGTGAGCAACAGAGACAGATTCTCTGATCTCATAAAGGTTTCATTCCAGTAGAACAGACAGATTTTAAACAATCAGCCCAGATAAAAATATAATAATAAATTGTGTTATAATTTATGAAGGAAAAATGCAGTGTGCTAAACGGTATGCATCACAGAGAGAGGGAGTGTCGTGTCGCAGAAAATCACGAGCCTGGAAGGACAAATAGAAGTTATCCAGGCAGAGTCAGGAAGACAAATTCCAGATGGAGAAAACAACATGTGCAAAGACCCCATGGTAGGAAAGAGCTCGTGTTCAAGGAGCTGAAAGAAGGCTGGAAGGTCCATTAGACAAAGGGTGATGTTGGGGGCAGGAGAGATGATTACAAAAGGCAAGAGAACTGGAAGACACATGCATTGCCATTATCAGAGCTCCATTATACAGAGCAAGGGAAGAACATGGTTCTCAAGTCTCCTCCAAGTCTCCCGTCCTCCATACTTTCTAGTTACTTCATATTGATAGGAGAAAACTGAAATTCTTTTAGCAAACCAAGATAAGGAGAAGTATTTAAGCTGCTTACTTATATAAGACAGCAGCTTAAAAATATCTCTGTTCATGCAGTGGGTATTTCTTCAGAGGGCAGCTTGGTCTTTCAATGATATAATTTACTTCAGAGGTAGACTCTTCCTACAATAAAAACAAATCCAGCAATTATGTTACCCATAACATAATAGAGATGGATGATACCCAGAGGTGTAGTTTTGCATGTAGGAGGTCTGTGCATCCCATTTATGCTGTTATATGGGGTTCACTATATATGTGAATCTTTCTTTTTTTTGTAGAGACGAGGTCTCATTATGTTGCCAGGCTGGTCTTGAACCTCCTGGCCTCAAGAGATTCTCTCTCCTCAGCCTCCCAAAGTACTAGGATTATAGATTTAAGCCCCAAACCAGGCCTTTGTTTACATTTTAAAGAGAGTCCTTGCCCGAAAAGGTTAGGAATTAAAGCAAAGCCTATGACTTTGCAGAAAAGAAGTAAAGTAGTTCACTACCCTCATGGTTAGGGCAAACAACATTCATTTTTAAGCATCATCCTGCAAATCTAGCATATGCCAGTATTTAATAAGTCAAGATGACTAATTCAAATACATGGCATCATTAAAGTCAGCCACTGGGGGCACTGTTATCCTTTATTTGAATTCTTTGGAGCTGGTAAACGGCCATTTAGCTGTGTGTCTGAAGCAGTGACAAAGTACTGGGAATACCTACCAATGGATCAGAAGCACTCCCCATACCCCTGTAAAAGTCATACAGCCAAAAACCACCTTATTAAATTTTAGAACAACTTTCTTCCATGTTGTGGCCTTACATAGCTCAAACACAACTGTATTCTTCACTGGATTGGGATTCATGTGTGCAGGGGAAAGGAATGCTCTGTGGGCCAGTTAACCTGCTTTCTCTTAGTCCTTTGAAAGGACCTCCACTTGATGAGTGCCATGCACCAAATTAGCTGCTACTCCTCCGTTGCATCCAAGTCCCACTGTCTCATCCTCAGGAAGCCAGCCCTGACTCTCAGTCATGTCAAATACCCGCCACCATTCACTCTCAGGACAACAGGTAATCTCCTTGGTAAGCCTCACAATTTTTCACTTATTTCTGTGGTTATTTGATTAATGTCTGTCTCCCTGACTAGACTATAGGTCCCTGTTCCCATATTATTTAGTGAGCAAAGATTTAGTTTTATAAGAAAGTCTAACCTTATTTTGGTGCTGCTGTGCTCTGTGGGATGTCAGAAGACTGCATACCCTCTCATGGATATTCTTCCAAGTGGACTGAGAACCAGGATGGAACCTGCTCAACAGATGGAACAGGGTGGAATATTAAGCAGCTACTAAAAACGACACTTAAATAAAGCACATGACAATATGGATTGATATTTAAAACTTAATCATAATAAAAAATAGCAGCATGCAAAATGGTAAACATAGTGTGATTTCAATGTCTTTCTTAAACCTACCCATAGGAAAAGCACTGGGGAATAAAAACTGCTCAGATGTCAAGAATTTTTGGCCAGGCGCAGTGGCTCACGCCTGTAATCCCAGCACTTTGGGAGGCCGAGGCGGGCGGATCACAAGGCCAGGAGACCATCCCGGCTAACATGGTGAAACCCTGTCTCTACTACAAATACAAAAAATTAGCCGGGTGTGGTGGCGGGCACCTGTAGTCCCAGCTCCTCAGGAGGCTGAGGCACGACAATGGCGTGAACCCGGGAGGTGGAGCTTGCAGTGAGCCAAGATCGTGCCACTGCACTCCAGCCTGGGGGACAGAGCGAGACTCCGTCTCAAAAAAAAAAAAAAAAAAAAAAAAGAATTTTTCGTGTTTCTATGTGTGGCTATGAGTGATTCTTTTCTTCTTTGTACTTTCCTGTGTTTTTCAGATTATTTCTCTCATGAACAAACTCTACTTTTACATTTAAAATTTTAATACAAAAACTTTTAATATGAAATTTAAATCCAAAAAATTTTAATATAAAATTTAATCCCAGTGGTTGTTTTAGGGAAAGATTATCACCCAGGCTAACGTACAGTGGCACGATCATAGCTCACTGCAGCCTTGAATTCTTGGACTCAAGCAATCCCCCAACTTCAGCCTCCCAGAGGATCAACTAGGTACATGTTGCCATGCCTGGCTATTTTTTTTTCTTTAAGAGATAGGGTCTTGTTACCCAGGCTGGTCTCGAACTCCTGGGTTCAAGGGATCCTCCCACCTCAATCTTCCAAATAGCTGGTACTACAGGTATGCACTACCATGCGGAGCTAACTTTTAAGTATTTTGTAGAGACAGGGTCTCCCTGTGCTGTCCAGGCTGGTCTCAAACTCCTGTACTCAAGTGATCCTCCTGCCTCAGCCTCCCAAAGTGCTGGGATTACAGGTGTGAGCCACTACACCCAGCCTCCAATCCTGGTTGTTTCCTACCACCAGGACTTTATCTCATATCTCATTTACTTTAGGCCACCCAGACTCCAAACTGAACCATAGGTTTGATAGTCTCTTTCAGTTCCCCAAACATAGAGCATTTTCTACCTTCCATAGGCATTTGGCAACACTGTTTCCTCTTCTACCTCCCAACCCTGCTCACTACTCTTATTAACTCCTACCCACCCTTCAGAGCTCAGTTCAATTGTTCAGTTCTCAGCAAAGTCCTTTCTGAGCCCTCTCCTGCAGAGGAGGTCAGCTTCTCTGTTATACGCACTTGCAGTTTCATTTATCTATACCTCATTAATACCATTTGCACCAGTGGACATTTTGTCATTATTTGGTTAATGGCGGTCTTTACTCCTAGAGTGAAATTGAGACTGAGACTCTTTGCTTAATAGCTCATCCCAGGGCAGAGTAGGAACTGAATAGCACAGTAAGTAGTTAATAAATATTTATTGAGTGATTGAATTCATTCTCTCATTCATTCATTCATTCATTCATACATCCATTCATATTCAGGAGGCGGATGGTCACCAAATCCTAAAGTCTGAGGTATATAACTAATCTAAAAGTGTACATAGCAATTTGATAATGAAAGGCACAGATACGGTTTTCTAAAAATACCCAAAGAATTATAGCCACTTGGGGCCAGGCGCAGTGGCTCACACCTATAATCCCAGCACTTTGGAAGGCTGAGATGAGTGGATCACTTGAGGCCAAGAGCTCCAGACCAGCCTGGCTAACATGGTGAAACTCCATCTCTACTAAAAATATAAAAAATTAGCCAGGTGTGGTGGTGGTACATATGTAGTCCCAGATACTGGGAGGCTGAGGCATGAGAATTGCTTAAATCCAGGAGGCGCAGGTTGCAGTGAGTCGAGATGGCACCACTGTACTCCAGCCTAGGCAACACAGCAAGACTCTATCTCAAAAAAAAAGAAAAGAAAAGAAAATGGTTCTCTTTAATTAATGTGCGGTACACACTGGAAATGACAGGAACATCTGGAAATCCAGTTGTTACTATGGCTACCATATAAATGACCACCCTGTGCAGTTGCCCCTCTGCTTGGCTGGTTCCGGCCCACATCCGGGCCTCCATTCCAGCTCTCTCTGTGACAAGCATGTCCCGCTGGTTTTTCCAGGGAGACAAGACCAAGAGTATGAATGGATCTACACAAATCCATTGCCGACCCAAGAAAACAACTCATAGCAAATGGAAGCACCACCTAAAGCACTGCCCATGTCACTACAAACATTATTTCTATGCTTCTGTAAGATTTTTTTTTTTTTTTTTTGACCCAGAGTCTTATTCTGTCACCCAGGCTGGACTACAGTGGCGTTACCTTGGCTCATTGCAACCTCTGCCTCCCAGATTCAAGCAATTCTCCTGCCTCAGCCTCCCAAGTAGCTGAGACTACAGGCATATGCCACCACGCCCAACGAATTTCTGTGTTTTTCGTAGAGACAGGGTTTGGCCACGTTGGCCAGGCTGGTCTTCAATTCCTGATCTCAAGTGATCCACCCACCTCGCTTCCCAAAATGCGGGGATTACAGGCGTGAGCCACCGCGCCTGGCCCTTCTCTAAGAATGTTCAAGAGGAAGGAATAGAAATATGTTGAAGCTATAAATGAAGCTAGCATTTAAAAACAGCCACCAGCTGGATACTGTAAATGTTTTTTCATAGATCTAGAGTAACCAGTACCAAAGCGACTCCTATATTTGTCCATTATCGTTACATGCAATTTATTTTTTTTACATTTGAAGATCTCAGAGAATGATGAGTCAACAGATGGGAGCAATGCTATGCCTTTACTAGAGCCCTCTCCATGGGATCTACCTTCTCCTTTAGTAACGTGCAGAGAGAGGGTGTGCTGAAGGGGCATGACACTATTCAGATGGTGGATACAGGGAACAGGCTTGGCAGTGTTTCTCCCTCCTTTAGTACTCCCATTGTTCCCTTTGATAAAGTGTTTTCTACTTCGTCCATCAAAACCTTGGGCTGACTCTCACTCCAAAATTTGTCTCCCAACTCATCCCTAAGACATTGATCCTTACTGACTTCAGTATTAAGTTAGCAGAAACACAACAGGTATTCTCATGCACCCTTGTAAACTGGGCACAGAGAAAGAGTGGTCCTGATAACACTGGTGTGAAAAGAACACTGAGTGAGTGGAGACACAGTGCTGGCAACCCCCAGGGTCCCAGGAATCTGCCCTGGTGATCACTCTAAAGCCAACGGGCAATGTGTTCTGCAAGGACATGAAGGGCATATCCCTCGTTCAAAAGAACTGTTTTTAAAATATTATCTTCAGAGCCACTTCTCTAGTGTTAAGGTGACCAGCTGTCTTGGTTTAACTGGGACTCAGGGGGACTCAGGGGTTTCCCAGAATGCAAACTTTTGGTACTAAAACCAGGACAGCTATGGGCAAACTGGATGGCCTTTCTGTGGCTGTGTTATTCTTTGTCACTGATAATCATGGCCTTATTTACCAACTCATAGTCCAACTAGGTCCCAAGCTACCAGTTTAGAGAGACTTTGGGCACAAAGAATTTGCTGCCTCATCAGAGATGGCCAGTAAAACTCTGGTCTGCAGCTAAGACTCATCTTTCTAAAGTCACTTGTGCCAACTCCCGTGACTAATATCACAGAGCTCCTCACTCCTTCCAAGCAAAGCCCAAACTCCTTAGGTCAAGCAACCAAGGTCCCCCTCAAACCTTTGAGTACTGGCACCAACTTTCTCCAAACTTCTTAACTGCTGGAAGCTGACAGTGCCCCTGCCTCCCACCTCCCATCACTCACCTCCATGAACCCCATCATAATCCAATCTTCTCCCCTCACGGTCACATGAAAGCATCACCTCCTCCATTAAAACACTCCAAAAGTTCCACCCTTTTTCTTTATACTCCAGTAACTTTTGTTCCACACTATTCACAAAGTTCTGCTTTGTAGAAAGCTCTTCGCATGCTTCTTTTTTATTATTATTTATTTTTTTTATATCCTCTACTAGGTTGCAAGTTTTCAGAGATCAGGTGAAATGTCTTAAATATCAGTGTTCCCATTCCAGGCCTAGCAGATTGAGTATCAATCCTACTTTCCTCTTAACCACAGATTTCATGCACTCCCCGCCCACACACTCAATTCCAATCCTAGTTGATTTTGACTCAGTAAACAAGAGGCAATTCTTCTGTTGGCCAGAGTTGAGAATTGCTGGCCTGCTGCATAAAGACGTTCAGGAAAGGCTGGCTGAATGAATGTATAAACTATCTAACATGTATTTAAAGAGAAAAGAGGCCTTCTCAGATCTCTCTCCTGATGGAATTGATTTCCTCCCACTCTGTCTTTCCCCTGCATTTGGATTGTACTTCTGTTAAGTGTTAAGTGCCTACCACAGTCTATCTCATATTCAGTGACATGGTGTATGTCTGCCTTCCTGTCTAGTATGTGAGCCAGTGGAAAGCAGAGATGTGTCATGATGGTGTCCATTGTCCACAACAGTTACCCAATAACAGCATGCTCAATACAGTCTCTCAGAAAAGCTTGCAGTACTGATTTTGAGGAGTTTGGGAGGTGTTATAGATAGAAAGCACAGGGACAAAAAAAAACCACGGGTTTTCCCCAGTTCTGGCAGCTGACAAGCACTTTGTGGCTGTATGCAGATGGATCTTTGATCATCACATCCATTTTAAAGATGAGGAAACTGAGGTTTAAAAGGTTGAAGCTGAGCACAGTGGCTCATGCCAGTACCCAGCACTTTGGGAGGCCAAGACAATTGTTTGAGCCCAGGAGTTTGAGAAGAGCCTGGGCAACACAGTGAGGCCCCATCTCTACAAAAATAAAAGTACGAAAATTAGCCAGGCATGGTGGTGCGCACCTGTAGTCCCAGCTACTCAGGAGGCTGAGGCAGGAGGATTGCTTGGGTTGGGGAAGTCAAGGCTGCAGTGAGCTGTGATTGTGCCACTGCACTCCACCTGGGTGACAAAGCAAGACCCGATCTCAAAAAAAAGAAATTAATTAATTAAAAAAATTAGGTCAAGTAGCTGTGTGAAATCACCCAGCACTTAGAGACACATGAGCGCTAGAGCCCATGTCTCCTGATCACTGCCAATTGAAAGTTCTTTCCACTCTTCATTTAAAATCAATCCTTTACAAGTCTTTAAATCCAGGATAACCTCCTGTGCTTTGCCAGTCTGCTGAATTCCAGGCTGGTGGCAAAAGCATAAGACAGGAGGGGACAGAGGCCAGGCACAGAGCGGTGTAAGTGTGTCTCTGACCACCTGTCTCTGTGTGCCAGAGCCAGTTTTTTTATTTGTTTGTTTTAAACGGAATTTTGTTCTTGTTGCCCAGGCTGGAGTGCAATGGCACGATCTCGGCTCACCACAACCTCCGCCTCCCGGGTTCAAGCAATTCTCCTGCCTTACCCTCCCGAGTAGCTGGGATTACAGGCATACGCCACCACGCCTGGCTAATTTTGTATTTTTAGTAGAGACAGGGTTTCTCCATGTTGGTTAGGCTGGTCTCAAACTCCTGACCTCAGGTGATCCACCCGCCTTGGCCTCCCAAAGTGCTGGGATTACAGGCATAAGCCATCGTGCCCAGCCCAGAGCCAGTTTTTTTTTAATCTATGTTGTATTATTTTCCTCTAATAAAGTAACTAATCAAAAGCTCGCTATATATTAATGGATTTTATTAAAATATGTGATCTGGCTTCCTTAAATCCATGATTTAACATTTGAATATAGAGTTATTTTGTCATTTCTGAAAAACGCTAAGAATAGACAGCCATTTTCTTAGTCTACCTCGAAGTTAATATAATTCCTGTAAAAATTTCAGGGCCACTGTGGTTCTGGGATATATTTACTCTGAGTCCCTTGTGAGCAATTGTGTTATTCTGGTATGCACAGTTTGCTTCTTATTCTCATCACTAATAATGCAGAGAAAAGCAGATTGGCACATCCTTCATTCAAAACAACAATCTTATAAATATTATTGTCAGTGCCACTTCCCTGAAGTTCAAGTAACCAACTGTCCTGGTTTGCCTAAGACTCAAGGGTTTCCCAGAATGCAGGACTTTCAGGGCTAAAATCAGGCAGACCCAAGCAAACCAATGGTTACTTACCCTACTAGAGTGTGTCATTTGGCAAATAAAGGTTTCTGTTCTTACTCTCTGGCCTGCTCTCCAGACATATGCAAATATAATTTTATTATTTGTGAAAATAATGTAAACAGAGAAACCATGTCTAGAAAAAGAATATACGCCCATATGTTAACATTTGTCTTTGGGTGGTAGGACTATGGGTAATTTTTTTCCCCTTTTTTTTCTGTAATTTTCAAACTTTCTGTAGTGAACATTTCTATACTGGTAAAATAAAAAGGTTTAGTTTTTAAATGTATGACAAATAAAAATGGGTAGATAAATAGTACCTATGTCAAAGTAAGTTGTCTATTCCATTCACAGCAAATACTCTGAGATATGCCTCTGACTTTTGGGTAGATTTTAAAAGAAATAATCATTTTTTCATATCAAGGTGTCACTAGCTGAATATTCCTAAGAAAGGAAGCTGATGAAATGACCCAACTTTACCCCTGCCAGGCCACAATGCACTCTTCAGGCAAACAGATGGGTGCTTGACACTGACCTTTCTCTAAGAAGGGGCTGATCCAAGGGTCCGGGAGAGCTGGAATGCTGGGAGGTGGCAAATGAAGCTTTCCGGTGGAAATCGGCATCCCCTTGTTTACTGGACGAGGACTTTCCAAACTGACTTGAATCTAAACGTGATGATGAGTCACTCCTTAAAATAATCCGTTCATCTGGCTCTCTGATAACCTGAGTGAATGCGCATTATTTAATTGTAATTTTGCTTCTGTTTGCTTAATTTAGAGCTGGGGGTGGGGTTGAACAAGGAAGACAACTAGGGCTAAGATGACAGAACATTTGCGCCAGGGATCTCCTGCAAATAGAAGAGGATCTGGAGAAGAGAAGACTAGTGACAAAATGCTCAGGAGTTAAGACTGATAAAAATAACCAAAAGTCTGTATGTTTGGGATATATTAACAAACCAAAATAAACTCACGCTGTAAACTTTGATTTCTGAGGACTAGGGATTATTGATCTGGGAAAAATATAACTTTAACAAAATATTTAAGTGCTATGGCATAAGAAGCATAGTATATTCCATCTTCTCTGCATAAATCTATTCTCATGTTGTTACACAGAAGTTTGAGCCTTCACTTTCACAAACCAATCAAACTTCAAGAACAAATGATTTACCACCTCTATGTATAAAATTATTTGCTTGGAGAAAAAGCAATAAAAATCACTACAAATAAAGTAGGTATTGGGTCTACATACACCCTCTGTGGTGACTCATCCTACTTATATGAGGGGCACAAACCAGCTAACCCCAAAGCAAAGTATAACATGGAGTCTGGGCACATCTTCATACAAACACTAAACTACAGCAATTCCACCTAAGCAGACTAACTAGAAATATCCACCACTGATTGGAAAAAGCACAATAATTGACATAAGATAGCTGGAAGTAAATAATTTTACAAATTCTATTTCTAAAATTACCTTTACGTTAGCTGCAAGGCTGTCAAGAGAAGAAGCTAGAAGAAAGAGGAACAGGTGTTTCAATGACTCATTATTACCATTTAGCTTTAAAACTGCCATTATATTTATTCTACAGCGGTACAAAAATTTTAGACAATGAATGAATTATTTAAAAACTTAAATGCTCCCTTGTAAGTTACACTACCAATTTTAAGTCTCCCTTAAGCCACTTCAATTCTCTGGGTCATGGGGTTTTTATGTTTTGTTTTGTTTTTGTCTTTTTGAGGTTAACAATGAGGTGTTCTGGTTTGTTTGTTTGTTTTTTGGGTTTTTGTTTTTGTTTTTGTTTTTTGAGATGGAGTCTCACACTGTCGCCCAGGATGGAGTGCAATGGCATGATCTCAGCTCACTGCAACTTCCGCCTCCCGGGTTCAAGCGATTCTCCTGCCTCAGCCTCCAGACTAGCTTGGATTACTGGTGCCCACCACTACGCCCGGCTAAATTTTTGTATTTTTAGTAGAGATGGGGTTTTGCTATGTTGGCCAGGCTGATCTCGAACTCCTGACCTCAGGTGATCCACCCACCTTGGCCTCCCAAAGTGCTGGGATTACAGGTGTGAGCCTCTGGACGTTTTGTCTTCAATGACAGCACGTATGGAAGAGGGAAGGGTAAAGCAAGTCTAAAGTGAATGAGTAAGTTCAATAACCCTTAAGCAGCCTGAAAAACTCGTATTTGAGTAGGTGCCCAGAACCTAAAAAAAAGTACTATGTGTCTAATATAAAATTTGTAAGCTGTCTCCTCTGACATTTTCTTTGGTTTTCATGGAATCCTATTTATGCAGGAGCTCTTGAATATATTTGTCCAAGGTAGACACAAATGTTAAATTGAGACAACAAATACGTAAAAGCTTGGAGAAATACAGAACATAGCAAAAATGGAAATCACTATCATGACTGTAAATGATCATGATAGGTAAGTAGACCTAATGCCGAAGTATGGCAAGGATGACTAGGAAATGAGGTAATAAAGACACAGAGAAAGTGAAGACTAGGTTGGATTTTTCCAGGTTGATTAAAAACTGTTTTTAAAATTAGTATTTGTAAGGCAATGCTAAGGTCACCATGGCTTCCCCCAGTGTGACCGGGGCTCAGGCAATGACAAAGGACTTTTTCTGGACTGCTGATCCCCCTCCCCATGTCACTGGTAGATATAAAGAGATTTTTAAAGCCAGACCATTTTCATATCCTTTAGGCATATAGATATGTATGTACCACTTTGTCCCAGGAGCTCTCTTTGCACCCACCCCCAGCTGGGCAGGGAGTCAGCAATGCTAACGCCCTTTCAGCTATAGCCACAAACTTGCCCTGTGGCCTCATAACCTCCTTCTCATAACCCCCTTCTCATAACCTCCTTCCAGTGTGGCCTCATAACCTGTGGCCTCATAACCTCCTTCCTCCTGTGGCCTCATAACCCTGTGGCCTCAGAAACTCCTACCTACTGGTTTTGAGCCCTTCCTTTAACAGGGGGGCTCGCCTTCATTCCCTTGCTTCTCAAAGTGCAGTCCCTGGACCAGTAGCATTCATATCACCTGGAAGCCTGTTAGAAAAGGAGAAACCTAAGCTCCACCCCAGCCCTAATGAATCAGAATCTGCAGTTTAACAAGAGCCCCAGGTGATTCAAATGCACATTCAAGTTTGAGAAGCACTGCTGTGTTCTACCTTAGGCCTGGATGAATGAGCTGACAGGTGACCTAAGCAAAGTTCTGGCTTGAAAGCTACAGGGATTCCAAGGATCTGAGGCCAGAGGTCTGAATGTCTTCTCTAAATGTAGGTATGCCAAAAGCTTGGTGTGTGACCTTTACACACATTGTAACCTCTCTGGAACCTTAGTTCTCCACCTGCGAGGATTAAGAAAAGACAAAGGCCGAGACCAATGTGATGTGTGAGTCCCATGATAATAGAGCCTGCATTAAACCCAACTTGTCCGCCCCAGGAAAGGACATTTGCTGTTGCCTGATTTCACTGCAGTAGGGAAGACAATGCTGCTTTATAAGCTACCCGGGTGACTTTCAATTCAAAGAACTTAAATTAAATGTCAGATGTGATGAAGCACATTCTGCTTCAAACCCGGTACTCTGTCCTTGGCCAGCTGCTGTCAAAGAGCTACCACAGTCTAAGAACACTGGCTTAAGTTACCATAAGAGGCTTAAAAGTAGACCCTTAAAAGTGTAAACCTTTAAGCCTAAGATAAAGAACTCTACTGTCAGGGATGGCAATAGATGGAAAGTTCAGTACTACCAGCGGCAAGAGAATGGACCACCACCATTCCTTTCCAGCCTAAGAATTTTGATTAATTTCAGGAATGACTGATCTTCACCAACACGACCTTCACTAACAACATGATTCATGGATTTCAGTCAAAAGCCTACAAGGAATTCCTTAACCCAGTGACTCTTAATGTGTGGTCCAGGGATCTCCCCCAAGGGTCCCCAAGACCTTTCAGGAAATCTGCAAGGTCAAACTGTTTTCATAATAATACTAAGACATGATTTGCCTCTTTCATTCCCATTCTCTCACCACTGCACAATGGAGTTTTCCAAAAGCCACAATGATGTTACGACATCATCATCATGATGATGGCTAATGGAATGTGTACTAGTCTATTCTTTTTTTTTTTTTTTTTTGAGACAGAGTTTCACTCTTGTTGTTCAGGCTGGAGTGCAATGGCACAATCTCGGCTCACCACAACCTCTGCCTCCCATGTTCAAGCAATTCTCCTGCCTCAGCCTCCCGAGTAGCTGGGATTACAGGCATGCACCACCATGCCTGGCTAATTTTGTAATTTTAGTAGAGATGGGGTTCCTCCATGTTGGTCAGGTTAGTCTCAAATTCCCAACCTCAAGTAATCTGCCTGCCTCAGCCTCCCAAAGTGCTGGGATTACAGGCGTGAGTCATTGCACCTGGCCGTAGTCTATTCTTATATTTTAAAAATGTATCAGTTTTAATTTCTAACATGCTAACTACTGATGTTATCCACATCAAGAAAAGCTCTTTGGGCTCCTCAACAATATTAAGAATGCAAAAGGGCCTGAAATCTAAAGGTTTAAAAATACCCTGCCTTCATCTAACTGCTTCAGATAGAGTTGGCTTCCCACCTCACTGACATGAAATCTTGTAAAGCAAATGTTACATCTCCTGATCACCATCAATCTCCTGTTTTTTCCCATCCAGAAAAATGGAAAGCCTTATTTGTTAGGCATCAATGGTGACTTTGCAAAGGGTTCACAGCAGGACAAGTTGCACTCTGCTTTCCCAGCCCAGCCAGGCAACAGCCAGGGAACAACTGCAACCACAGCACACTCAGCACGCTACTCAGAACGGTCCCCTTCAATGACAAAGGGAACTCTCAGACAGAAGCTTCTTAGCTGACTCTGCTTCGTGGGACCACTGCCCTGGAAATTCCACAGCTGGAGAGGACTTGAGAATTAGGCCCACAGTTCCGAACATAATCTGTGATTCCTCAGAATGAAAGAGTATACACAGGACACATTTGTTGCCACAGGGAAATGTACAGGAGTAACAAGAAACTCAAGTACCTCTTCTCATTGGAAACGGAAAGTCTGAAAACTTAGATTTTCTTCTACACCTCCTCAAATGATGCTCTGAAATATTCTCACCAAAGGGCTTTGCACTGTCCACCTGAAAGTAAAGGAAAGAAATAAGACTAGAATCCACTATAGCTTCTAGTACCCTCCCCATATCACTGGTAATGCCTGTCTCCCCCTCAATCACTGATTACACAGGTTGGAAAAAGAAGGCTGGAAAACCACCTAGATCACAGTCTCCAAGTTTGCTACATGTTACACCTAAAAGGAGAAACTCTCTGTCCTTCATTGAGGCTAGAACATGAGGACATAGGCTAAACATTAGCATAAGGAACTAAAGTTAGACACAAATTACATTCCAACAACTGGTAAGGATACAGCACAGAAAGAGGGCAAGTGAAGCTTTATTTCACAATCTCTTAAAATAGGACAATGTTTCACATTCCTTAAACAGTGTGAGTAGTGGTGGCCTAAGTGGGGTCCTCACTGACAGCAAGGGATTCCCACAAGATGACATTTCTACTTTCCAGATTCCTCTCTGGTCCGAGTGTCTACATTTTTGAAAAAAAGAATAATGGTAGCTAGGCCGGGTGCAGGGCTCATGCTTGTAATCTTACCACTTTGGGAGGCCAAGGAGGGAGGATCACCTGAGGTCAGGAGTTCGAGACCACCTTGACCAACATGGAGAAACCTCATCTCTACTAAAAATACAAAAATCAGCTGGGCGTGGTGGCACATGCCTGTAAACTCAGCTACTTGGGAGGCCGAGGCAGGAGAATCGCTTGAACCTGGGAGGCGGAGGTTGCGATGCCCCGAGATCATGACATTGCACTCCAGCCTGGGCAACAAGAGTGAAACTCCATCTCAAAAAAATAATAATAATAAATAATAATAATAGAACTATATTATTTTATCTATGGTAACTGACCATATTTTCCTAAGGAAAAATTGGGTAACATGATCTGCAAACAGGTCAAAACACGTGAACTAGGGACTCCTCCAAATATCTACAATATAGAGTTGCTGAATTTTTTTTATTTCTGTTTTTTAAAATTTTAATAAGGCAGGTTATAATGTTACTTTTCATTTTACTTTAATATATTGACTTGAATTTATAGTCTTTATAACATCAGGTTTTCTAAATTTTAATGCTTCTACTTAAGGAAACATCACATATCATCAGAAAATCTGACTAAATAAAAAAATTAAATATGTCAAATCACTGATAAAAGACTTTGGCGCATAGGAAAAACTATATAAGAATTTGTTAAATAAAATAAGTATCAAGCAAGTTTTAATCCCCTAAGAAATCTACCAAGATTTTAAGATTACTTAGTTCATAATGGCATGGACTAAAGTTGTATTTTACAATAATTTATATCAAATGAAGTAAATCAGATATATTTTCAACAAAATGAAATAAATGAACTCAATTCGATATTTTTATGGCCCCATGTTTAAAGATTGGTCGTTAGATTTTTGCCAGATGTCATTACCCAGGCCACCAAGACAACAGCTGTTGTGTATCTTTTGTAGATAGCTCTTCTGCAGTTTCTAGCCAAACAGTTCTACAAACCAATTCTACATACAGTCATCTCAGCAGCACCTTCACTTCAAGACTTACTACACTTCACAGTCTCTGCCTAATACACAAACATCACCACTGGTGACTTTAAATCAAAATATCAACTTAATGATACTATCAATAGTTAACATTCTGGAGAATAAGTCATTAATTAGAACATGAACTGGTGTTCGTGTAGACTACAAAATAACACAGGAAATTTTTTTAATATAATGTTAATCGGAATATGTAGGAAAACTAATCTGTATATACAGTATAATTACAACTTTGTGGAAAAAATAAAGCCTATGAATGCAAGTATAATGTAGAGAAATTGAGTCAAATTAAATCAAACAATGATTTTATTATGCTGGTGAGCCAATGGATTAATTTTTTTCCTGAACTTTTCTGTTTTCCATTACTTTTATAGTAGCAAAAAAGTTGTAGGCCAGGTGCAGTGGCTCATGCCTGTAATCCCAGCACTGTGGGAGGCCGATGTGGGTGGATCACCTGAGGTCAGGAGTTCGAGACCAGCCTGACCAACATGGTAAAACCCTGTCTTTACTAAAAGCACAAAAATTAGCTGGGTGTGGTGGTGGGCACCTGTAATCCCACCTACTCAGCAGGCTGAGGCAGGAGAATCACTTGAACGTGGTAGGCGGAGGTTGCAGTAAGCTGAAATTGTATCACTGCACTCTAGCCTAGGCAACAGTGCAAGACTCTGTCTCAAAAAAAAAAAAAAAAAAATTGTAAAGAGACTAAGAGAACTAGTGTGATTAAATTTGCCCACCATTGCCAGAGGACATAATCTAAGATGACTTTAATTAAGTGCTTTGAGTATTGCACAACATTGCTTCTTCCTGCAAACAAACTTTTCTGGCTCTTCAACATATGGCCACTGAGCACCAATCTCATTAAGAAAACTCATGTAGTTTTCTTTAAAACTGATGAAGCTTTAGTTTTGGATTGATACAGAGTGCATGCCAACCTTCGTTACGTGTTTTCAACCTCTGTCAGTTCACTGACTCTTCAAGATAATAGCAAGTTATCATGTGTAGACATTATACTCTGCTAATAATTTTCAAAAATTAAAAATAGGGATGGCTGACATTTACTGAGCAAGTCTACTGTATAGGGCACCTTTCTAAGAGTTTCCTGACAATCATCTAGGAAATTAACATAATTTAATCACAATTATTATTCAATTTGAAGTACCTTTTTATTTAATATTATTCATTTGTTATTATAGCTCAAACTTCCTTTATTCCACCCTCATCCATATCCTCACTATTGCAAAATACTCTAAAAAATAATTTTAGGCTCACATGTCTAACAACAAATGGAGGCTTGCTTCCTCCAGAGATTTTGAAATTACTTCCAAGGTTCAACTGAACTGGCTGGTCCTGGAAGAAATGCCTGGTAGAACATGGAGAGGGCTCCCGGGCTTGCATGCCTTTGGGCAGTCTGTTGAGGTTATTCTCCTTTAGTTTCATCTTTACAGTATTTAAGGGAAATATTGGTTCACGTGATGTAGATAAAGGCCTTCGTGACTTATGTCTTTCTTCCTGAAATAAACAAAAAAAAAGAATATTTTTAAAAATAAATAAAGAAAAGAAAATTCAATCAGAATATAACTGTATTTAATTGAACTTTAAAAAATTAAGGTCAAAGATAGAACACCTCAGATTTATAAAACATAAACTTAAGGAAGGACATTTCTCTAATTTTTTTCCTGTTCAGTTCAACATCATTAGTATTTATACCTTGCTAGTATAATGTATTCAACTAATTAACAGTGAGATTTATTTATAACGGGAAAGTTAGAAAGTGTCAGACACCTCCAATAGATAGATAATAGAGAATTTGACACATACAGGGGTCTAGCAATTTCACTTCCAGGAATGTATTATAAGGAAATAACTATGGCTATATGTATAGCTCCAAAAATGCTTATGGTAATTCAAAAGTTAAAAACCAACTGTACTGGTGAGTAAGCAATCGCGCTCAGTTGCAAATCCACCTCAGCTATACAATACTGACCCAGGGACTCTACAAACCCCCTTTTTGCTTTTCCAGCTGGTCTCTGTAGGCTCTGCCACTGGAAGGTGCTAGAGAAAGCGCAAGGCTGGAGGAGATACAGTGACTGGCTACTTCCAGTTTTGTATTCTATTCCTGTTAGCATCATTCCAGCAACAATTCTTCCCCTTAACAGCTGCAAGTGGCTCCAGATTATAGCCTTTCCCCTATTATGCCAGAACTAGCCCCACTGCACCCCTCCAGACATATCAACAGCAGCGGGCCAGAACCCCCTGTTCAGGTTTGAGTCTAGACCCACAGGAACCTTCCTCCAACCTCCGTGGCACCAGCAGGGAGCAGTGCCCCTCCTTAGAGATCTGAGTCCCAGCTCATCAGAGTCCCACCTTCGAATTCCTGAAGAAGCATCCAGGAAAGCAGCCCTTCTCCAGAGGTCTGGGTCCCATTTCTGTTCAGTCTCTTCTTTAAGCTTCTGTGTTCTTGCTGACCCAACATCTTCCCTTTGTTTCCCCAGCCCTAGGGGTGCAAGCTGCTTCCTGCAGTTACTCTTCATTTCAGTGTTCCCCTTTTACCTTTCAGTCTTTCAACCCCTGTTTAGCCATTTTTTTAAATTAAATCTTTCTGTTACAATCACAAGTTTGGTGTGGTTTCCTGACTGGACCATGGCTGATAGATCAGTTAAGTGCTCAACAAAAGGAAAATGAATGGCCAAACAGATTACAGTACTTCCATACAATGGAATACTATGAAACCATGAAAAATTGTCTGGCACAAGAATACCTGAGGACATGAGAAAATGTTTATGATAAGTTAAGTAAAAAAAAGAAGGGTACAAAATAATATGCAATGCAGTGTGATCTCAATCTTTTTTAAAAGTGTGTATGTGTGTACAGAATATACCAAAAAAAAAAATGCTGATCTCTAAATGGCAAAAATGGGACAGGTTTTTAAAATTTTGGGTCCTTTTCGCTTATTTATCTTTGTTTTCTAATTTTCCAAAATAAAGTGATACTTTTGTTTTAAGAAAAAAAAAAAGTGACAGATTGGATTAAGAAAATGTGGCACATATACACCATGGAATACTATGCAGCCATAAAAAAGGATGAGTTTGTGTCCTTTGTAGGGACATGGATGCAACTGGAAACCATCATTCTTAGCAAACTATCACAAGAACAGAAAACCAAACACCGCATGTTCTCACTCATAGGTGGGAACTGAACAATGAGATCACTTGGACTCAGGAAGGGGAACATCACACACCGGGGCCTATCATGGGGAGGGGGGAGGGGGGAGGGATTGCATTGGGAGTTATACCTGATGTAAATGACGAGTTGATGGGTGCAGTACACCAACATGGCACAAGTATACATATGTAACAAACCTGCACGTTATGCACATGTACCCTACAACTTAAAGTATAATAATAATAAATAAATAAAAAAAAAAAAAAAAAAAAAAAAAAAAAAAAGAACAGACTGAGTGCGGTGGCTCACGCCTGTAATCCCAACACTTTGGGAGGCTGAGGCAGAGGATCTCTTGAGGCCAGGAGTTCAAAAAAAAACAATAAAGCTATTTGTTTAAAAAGTTAACACTGAAAGGAAGACCTAGGAAGTTAAAACAGAATTAAAATGGTAGAACAGAAGAGAAAGAAACACTGAAAAATTGCTATGAACACATCACAAATAAATTGGAGGGAAAAGAGGATAAATAAGGTGAAACTAAAAAGCAGATAACGCCTTCCTTAAAATTAATCATTGGTCTCCCATTATGAGAGTTATTATGCTGTGAGGTTTGATAGATTTGCAGAGATTATTGGCCCTTCTTTCTCATTCAGAATCCCATAACACACAGCCCACATTTTCAAGGTCTTTTCTAGGACCATACATAAGATTTGGGATAAGCATTTTGTTTCACATACAGGTTTTACTCTACCGTGTCCCAGAGTATTTGGAGAAGCTTCACAAACTACCTTTATTCCTTCTCTATCTTGTTCTAGAAAAGATTTTAAGTGGCAACAATATTATATACAATAAGGTAAAAGCAAAACAGAAAGAAATTGGGGTGAGGGGGACACTAGGACTGAAGAAGAGAGTAAAATTGAGGTAGTACACATGGATGCCCTAAGACCCTTCACGTTTACCAAAGATGGACCATGAATACAATCTGAGCATCAGCCTCAGCAAAAGAAAGATGGCCCCATGTTTACTGCAGCATTATTCACAATAGCCAAGATTCGGAATCAACCTAAGTGTCCATCAACATATGAATGGATAAAGAAATTATATTACATACACACGATGGAATACTGTTCAGCCACAAAAAATAATGAGATCCTGTCTTGCAACAACATGGATGAAGTTAAGGTCATTATATCAAGTGAAATAAGCCAGGCACAGAAAGACAAACTTCATATATTCTCACTTATTTGTGGGAGCTAAAAATTAAAACAATTGAACTCATGGAGACAGACAGTAGAATGATGGTTACCAGAGGATGGGAAGGGTTGTGGGGGCTGAGGGGGAGTGGAGATGGTTAATGGGTAAAAAAAAAAAATAGAAAAAATGAGTAAGATCTAGTATTTGATAGAACAACAGGGTGACTATAGTCAATAATAATTTAACTGTAAATTTTAAAATAACTAAAAGAATATAATTGGATTGTTTGTAACTCAAAGGATAAATGTTTTAGGTGACAGATACACCATTTACCTTGATGTGATTATTACACACTGTATGCCTATATCAAAATATCTCATGTACTCCATAAATATATACAGGTATTATGTATCCATGAAAAAATAAAATTTCTAAATTTTTATTTTATTTTTATTATTTTTTATTTATTTATTTTATTTGAGACAGAGTCTCACTCTGTCACCCAGGCTGAAGTGCAGTAGAGCCATCTTGGCTTACCGCAGCCTTGACCTCCCAGGCTCAGGCGATTTGCATGCCTCAGCCTCCCAAGTAGCTGGGATTACAGGCGTACACCACTATGCCCAGCTAACTTTTGTATTTTTGGTAGAGATGGGGTTTCACCATGTTGCCTGGGCTGTTCTCTAACTCCTGACCTCAGGTGATCCATCGGCCTCCCAAAGTGCTGGGATCACAGGCATGAGCCACCATGCCTAGCCTAAAATTTTTAAACTTTTAAAAAAGAAAGATGGAAACTGCTGTTCATAAGATCAAAAGTAAATGTCATAGAATGACAATAACAAAAGCTAATTAGCTCACTTACATCAAATTTGTAATTTTAGCTTCTGAATCACCCTGCTTCCAGCTATATCATGCTGCCAAACATATGTGCCAAACATACTCTAATATGACTGGCTGAGTAAACAGTTTGAATTATAGAAATTCAAACCTAGTAAAAACTTTTCAGGTTTCTACTTGTTTAGTTTCATGTAAACTTGATAAACTGAGTTTGGGCAAAAATTCTTTAAATTAGGGAAAAAAAAAAAAAAAATCCGGTCATTTCTATCACTAGATTTGTATTGTACTTACAAGAAATCTGTTTCTGTGCAGAAACACACATTCTCTGATGGCTGTCCTTGTAGAAAACTCTATTTTAGGAGCAATTCCCTAAAAATAAAACAGCATAAGAAAAGCAAATAAAATTACTAGAAACAGTTCTTTGGCCATCTCATTCTAACTTAAAATCATACAAGAACCCAACTGCTCTTCTGTGTGGTTGGCATAATCCACACACATTATCTAAAATATATATGTAATAAGAATAGCTAAATACTTATGTAATATATATTATGTATCAGAGCCAGGCCTAAGTAATTCATATATATTAACTCATCCAATCCTATCACAACCCCATGAGGCAGGTTTTATAATAGTACTCCTCAATTAAGACACAGTTTAAGTAACATGTCCATCTAGTAATGATGGCTGTTAATTGAACCCAGGCATTCCGGCTCCAGTGTCCATGATGTTAGCTACTCTATTTAAAACACCGCACCATGGAATTGAATGCGATTACCTAGAGAGAGGTATGTATAATGTATAGAGTCTTCCTCTCTACCTACCTGCTTTGAAAAACTTGCTTTATATCTCATATCAGATATTTGTATTCATTAGACCTAATTCCAAATTAATTTTGTTTCATTGATTTGATATTTCTATTTTTTGTCCTCAGTACCATACTGTCTAAAATATTGGGTTATATATATATGTGTGTGTATATATATCCTATCCTGTTTAATTCTTATAATCCTATAGGGTAGGTACAATTATTATAATCATCCTGTTTTACAGATGTTAAAACTGAAAAATGGGCAAAAACTAGAAACAATCCAAACACCCTTAATGGGTGAACAGATGAACCGTGGTGTATTTACATAATGGACACTACTCGGTAATAACAAGGAACAAATGAACGACACACACAACTACATGGATGGATCTCAACAGCGTTCTTCTAAGTGAGAAAAGCCAGTCTCAAAAGGTTACAGACTGTATGATTCCATTTATGTAACATTCTCAAAAAAACAAAACTATGGTGATGGAGAAAAAACTAGTGCTTAGGGTCAGCGGAAAGGTGTGCCTATAAAGGGGTAACATGAGGGGGATTTTAGGAGTGATGGGATTGTTCTATATCCCGATCGTAGTAGTGGTTTTACAAATCTATACACATGCTAAAATTCATAGAACTGTAGACCAAAAAAGCATCAATTTTATTGTATAATAATTTTTAAAATACAACTGCTTTCCCCAAAAAATGAGGCCTAACGAGACATTAAGGCAATTTTCCCAAATTTACAAGGCTTATAAATGGCACTACAGCGACAGGACCTGGATCTGACTAAATTACACTGTCTCCATCTGACCCCATCGACTCACCAGTGGCCCCTCTGCATGACCTCTCTGCTCTACTCTCCCCCAGAGAATACCACCTGGCCAAGTTACTTCTTGTCCTGAGGGCACCTTCCTTCTCTTCTTTTCCATCCAAATTTTACCCATCTCTCAATGTCTGATCTCACTCTAACTCCTCCAGGTAAGCCCATAGTAGTCTCTCCCTCCAGTCTCTAATATTTCATTTTCATTTATACAACTTATACTCAAGGTGCTTCCATAACAGGGTCTGCCCCAGCTGAAGCCCTCGAAAGAAAGGAAGCCAACATCGACTGCATGCTTATTACATGTGCCAGCTTCTGTTAAGGGTTTCCAGAGGCATGATCTCATCTAATCCTCACACAACCTGTGTAGTAGACCACTGTATTCCCATTTTACACAGGAGGGAACAGACTTGGAGAGGTTTAATAGTATGCCCAATGTCACACAGGTGGGTAGAGCCAGGATTTGAAACTCTGCTGAATTGGCCAGGCACGGTGGCTCACGCCTGTAATCCCAGCACTTTGGGAGGCCAAGGCGGGCAGATCACGAGATCAAGAGATCGAGACCATCCTGGCCAACATGGTGAAACCCATTCTCTAATAAAAATACAAAAATTAGCTGGGTGTGATGGCGTGAGCCTGTAAGCCCAGCTATTCAGGAGGCTGAGGCAGGAGAATCGCTTGAACCCGGGAGACGGAAGTTGCAGTGAGCCGAGATCGCGCCACTGCACTCCAGCCTGATGACAGAGAGAGACTCAAGAAAAAAAAAAAAGAAAGAAAGAAAGAAAAAAGAAACTCTGCTGAACTACTACAAAACCTACCTTCTTTCCATTTCCTCATGCTATCTCTTCAGGGGCCTTGTGAATCAGCTAGTCAGCTTGTTTCCTGTGCATTCATTCATTCCTGTGCACCCATCCTGTCTACACAAGTCCTCACAGGTACAATCTATATCCTTAACTCCTTTTTATATTGCCTGTAGAATGCACAGTATGCACACAAGAGTGCAAAGCTTGGACAGACAACTCAAGAAAACATTTCTAGGCTTATAAACACATGGGCCAAGATGCTACACAGAGTCAGACAATGCAGAGGGACATTTGATAAAGAATGTACAATCATATGACTAGTACAGCCTCATATTTTCTTAACCAGATGGCTTACATGAAGAAGAAGGCAAGGAGAATTTCAGTGTCCACAGTGCTACTGGTAGAATCATATGACCCTCACATGTGTGCCAAGCCTCAGGTCCCCCACAGCCCAGTGGCCTGGAGCCTGAACAAGTCATCTCTCATGCCACAGTCTTGTGCAGTCTTCTCATTGCCTCACAGGGAGACAGTATTAACCCTTGGATGACAGCACAATAAATAATAACAGCTTAGATTTATTGTACACTTAACTATATACCAGGTATTGTGCTAAACACTGTATGTTACCTCATCTAACACTCACAATAATCCTGTGAGGGATGTACCATTATAGTCCCATTTTACAGATGAGTAAACTAAGGCACAAAGAGATTAACTTACCCAAAGTCTCAAAGCCATTCATGACAAAACTGGGAATGAACCCAGACAATCTGATTCCATACTAAACCACTGTACATGCAGCTGCCTAATAGATTTTCAAGTTCCTGATCCACTTTGCCCAGAGAGGAGGAAGGAAGTCCCCTGCTGGTAAGGAACCCACATTCTGTAACACATTTTTGTTCACCTTATATGACCTCCACTCCTTGCCATGACTTACAGACAATAAAGAAGAAATGTATTTTCTTTTTCATACCGTGCTGCTTTTAGCATAACATTTTACTTTAGAGTTGAAATTTAGAGACTATATCTCATCCAGTCTCCTTACCAATGAAATGATGTTGATAACAGTCAGGTCAATGAAAGGATTTAACATAACAAATAACATAATAACATAAACAAATAAAAATAATTTTTAAATGCTTTTTATGCTCACTTTACAAGGTCAGTCTTAACCTAACATAATAATAGATAATTGTGCAATCTTCTCATTGCCTCACAGGGAGACAGTATTATCATCTTTTATTATCTATTATCTAATAGATGAGAGAGTAATATTATCTATTATCTAATAGAGAAGACTAGATAATATTGCAAACAAAAAAAATTCTTGACCTCACCAGGAAATAAAAAATACTGTTAAAGTATCAATTGAAATAAAACAGCAAAATACAGAAACACAAAGAAAAGCCACATGCTAGTGGAGGAAATAAATCTAATTGTTAATAAGTTGATAAATTAGGAGAAAATAAAGTGAATTTGTCTCACATATTCATTCTTACTTCCTACAATATTAATGAAAAGAAATCAGATAGTGGGCTGAAATAAATATGAGAAAATTAGCATCATTCAGTGAGTAAGAGCACAGGCTCTGAAGCCAGTCAGGCCAGCATGAGAATTCCTGCTCCATCACTCACCTGTCCTGTGACCCTAAGTGCATTTCTGAAACTCTTTACACCAGCTTCCCTCTCCTTTAAAGTGGGGAAAGAACACGATAGTGAGCTCAACACAGTGCCTGGTATACAGTGAGCACACAGTGAACATCAGCTATTTTTTTTTTTTTTTTTGAGATGGAGTCTCACTCTGTTGCCCAGGCTGCAGTGCAGTGGCATGATCTTGGCTCACTGCTACCTCTGCCTCCTGCCTCAGCATCTCAGTAGCTGGGATTACAGGCGTGCGCCACCACGCTCAACTAATTTTTGTATTTTTAGTAGAGACGAGGTTTCACCGTGTTGGCCAGGCTGAAACATCAGCTATTATTAAAGTGATAGCTCTTTTTTGTGGTATCTCGGGGGCAATCAGCTGCTTCAAGATGAAGCTGAAGGCTGCGCATGGTGGCTCACGTCTGTAATCCCAGCACTTTGGGAGGTTGAGGCAGGAGAATCACCTGAGGTCAGGAGTTCGAGACCAGCCTGGTCAACATGGGGAAACCTCTTCTCCACTAAAAACACGAAAATCAGTCAGGCGTGGTGGTGAGTGCCTGTAATCCCAGCTACTTGGGAAGCTGAGGCAGGAGAATCGCTTGAACCTGAGAGGCGGAGGTTGCAGTGAGCCGAGATCACTCCACTGTACTCCAGCCTGGGCAATAGAGCAAGACTCCATCTCAAAAAAAATAATAATAACAATTAAGTGTGCTGCTCTTTCATCTTACACACTTTTGAAGATTTGCAATGTGTCTAGCACGTAGATTACAGCCAGGGACATTGGTTAAGAGCTACTGGAAACAAAACTAAAAGCAAACAACATATGTGATGTTTATGGCCCTCAGATCCTTAGTATTGTGTGATTTTCCCCCCTTAACATGTCTTTCTGAAATTGTCTATTAAAGCAGAGGAAATACCTGACAAAGGAAGTATGTATTGCATTAATCAGGACATAACTAATATTCTCCTATTCAGAATAATACTTATTTATGTGTGAAAGCAACATGGATGTGATCTCCAACACAGAATTTTCATGACGCTTTTATTGTATACAAATAAATACATAACAGTTACTTGGTTAGACATCAAAACAAAAACAAACAAACAAACAAAAAGATGAAGCTGAATATTTCCTTTCCAGCCACTGGCTGCCAGAAATTCATTGAAGTGGATGATGAAAGCAAACTTCATACTTTTTATGAGAAGCATATGGCCACAGAAGCTACTACTGAGATGCTCTGGGTGAAGATTGGGAGGGTTATGTGGTCCAGATCAGCGGTGGGAATGACAAA